CAGCAGAGAATTGCCCGAAGTCCAGGCTGGGTTTAGAAGGGGTCGTGGTACTAGGGATATTGTAGCTGATGTTAGATGGATCTTAGCTGAAAGCAGGGAATACCAAAAGAATGTCTATCTGTGTTTCAATGATTATGCAAAGGTGTTTGACTGTGTGGATCATAACAAACTGTGGCTGACTCTGAGAAGAATGGGAATCCCAGAACATTTAGTCATGTTAATGTGAAACCTATACTTGGACCAAGAGGCAGTTGTCAGAACAGAGCAGGGTAACACTGCATGATTTAAAATTGCGAAGGGTGTACGCCAGGGATGTGTCCTGTCTCCATATCTTTTCAACCTGTATGCAGAGCAGATTATCTGGGAGGCTGGGCTCTATGAGGAGAAGTGTGGCATCAGGATTGGTGGAAGATCTATTAACAATCTGTGTTATGCAGATGACACAACCATGCTTACTGAAACCGAGGAGGACCTCATGCACTTTCTGCAGAGGGTCAAGAACTGCAGCCTTCAGTATGGACTGAGGCTCAATATCAAGAAGACAAAGATTCTCAAATGGACCAATTGGTAGCATCAGGATGGATGGCGAAGATACTGAGATTGTTCACAGCTTCAGTACGCTTGGCTCCACGGTCAACACTCCTGACACCAGCAGTAAGAAAATAAAAAAAATTATTGCGATAGGAAAGTCTGCTGTTAATGACCTCTCTAAAGTACTCAAGAGCAACTGTGTCTCTCTGGAGACTAAAGGTGCGCCTGATACAGGCGATGGTCTTTGCAATCACTTGTTATGCATCAGAGAGTTGGACAATGACTAGGGAGGACAGAAGGAGAATTGATGTCTTTGAGTTGTGGTGCTGGAGAAGAGTACTGAATGTACCATGGACTGCCAAGAAAACAAACAGATTCATCCTGGAGAGGATTAAACCAAGCAACTCCTTGGAGGCAAGGATTCTGGGGCTTTGTCTGACATACTCTGGGTATGTTGCAAGGAGGGACAGGTCCTTGGAGAGAGACATCATGCTTGAGAGGGTGGAGGGACGGCACAAGAGGGGAAGACCCTCTATCAGATGGATTGATTCAGTGACTGGGGTAATCAGGATGGGTGTGTCAGACGCAGTGCGATTGGCACAGGATAGAACAGGGTTTAGGGCTGTTGTGCGTAAGGTCGCTATGAGTCGCAAACAACTCACCGGCACATTAACAACAACAAATTGGCAAAGAGGAGATAAAGCTAACTGTATTTGCAGATGGAAGCAAGATTCTACTGGAGATTATCCAAAAACGACTGGAACAGCACATGAGCATCGAACTGCCAGAAGGCCAGGCTGGGTTTAGAAGGGGTCGTGGCACTAGGGATACTGTGGCTGATGTTAGATGGATCTTAGCTGAAAGCAGGGAATATCAGAAGAATGCCTATCTGTGTTTCACTGATTATGCAAAGGCGTTGACTGTGTGGATCATAACAAACTGGCTGACTATGAGAAGAATGGGAATCCTAGAACACTTGATTGTTCTAATGTGAAACCTATACTTGGACCAAGAGGTAGTCGTCAGAACAGAGCAGGGAAACACTGCATGGTTCAAAATTGGGAAAGGTGTATGCCAGGGATGTGTCCTATCTCCATACCTTTTCAACCTGTATGCAGAACAAATTATCCGGAAGGCTGGGCTCTATGAGGAGAAGTGTGGCATCAGGATTGGTGGGAGATTTATTAACAATCTGCATCATGCAGATGACACAACCCTGCTTGCTGAAATTGAGGAGGACCTGAAATGCTTGCTGCAGAAGGTCAAGGACTGCAACCTTCACTATGGATTGAGGCTCAATGTCAAGAAGACAAAGATTCTCACTACTGGAACAATTGGCAGCATCAGGATGGATGGTAAAGAGATTGAGATTTTTAACAACTTTAGTCTGCTTGGCTCCATAGTCAACTCTCTTGGCACCAGTAGCCAGGAAATCAAAAAACATACTGCAATGGGAAAATCTGCTATTAGGGACCTCTTTAGAGGTACTAAATAGCAATGGTGTCACTCTGGAGACTAAGGTGCGTCTGATATAACCTATGGTCTTTGCAATAATTTGTTATGCATCAGAGAGTTGGACAATGACTAGGGAGGATAGAAGGAGAATTGATGCCTTTGAGTTGTGGTGATGGAGAAGAGTATTGAATGTACCATGACTGCCAAGGAAACAAACAGATTCATCCTGGAGAGGGTTAAACCAGGCTGTTCCTTGGAGGCAAGGATTCTGGGGCTTCGTCTGACATACTCTGGACATGTTGTAAGGAGGGACAAGTCCTTGGAGAGGGACATCATGCTTGGGAGGGTGGAGGGATGGTGCAAGAGGGGACTGCTGATGAGGTGGACTGATTCAGTGATTGGGGTAATCGGGAAGGGTGTGTCAGAGGCAGTGTGACTGGCACAGGATAGAGCAGGGTTTAGGGCTATTGTACATAGGGTCGCTATGATTTGAAAGCGACTCGACGGCACATAACAACAACAACAACAACATACTTTGAGAATCTTTAACGATTCACAAGAAAACTGCTGGATGTGGTTGACCAATTGAGCAAATAGTAAGATAGAAAATCAATGTATAAAAATCATTCAGATTTTTCTACAGTAGCAAAGAGAACAAAGGAAAAGAAATAAAAATATAAACGATAACAGCTAACCATAAGATGAAATACTTAGGAACAAACCTAGCTAAGAGACACAAAAGACTTACATAACGAAAATTACAAAATCTCTGTAAATTTTCATTAAAATTAGTAATAATAATAAAAAAATTACAAAATATTAGAAGAAAAAAATAAAGAAAACCCAACAAAAACTCCACCTAGGCAAATGGAAGACTATACCACACCCATGAATACGAAGACTCACTATTGTGAAAATGACAATTCTACCAAAAGCAATCTACAAGTTCAATGCAATCTCAATACAGATGGGTAATCTTCCCCCTCTTTTTTTAAAAAAAAAAGTCCGTTCTACCACTTTCAGAGTCTAACTGATACATTTAAACCATTTACATTGAGTTTGATTATTGGTAGATATGGAGTTACTGCTTCTCCTTGGTTTTTGCACTTAAGGGTTTCTTTGTCCAACTTAAGTTTTCTGTACTGAGCAATTTTTATTTATGGATTGTTTCCCCTTGTGTGTTGTTTTGTGTTTGTTTTTTCTTTATTCTTGTGAATAGATTTATTAATTTTCTTTGTGATTACCCTAAAATTAACTTTTACCTTCCCAAGTGTCTAGTCTGCTATATCTTAATAGCACTTTGACTTCCTGTCCATTTAGCAAAATTCTTAATTACACAATTTTTCACTCTTTTGGTTTTGAAGTTGTCACTGTTTACAGACTGAAATGTCTGGTTCCTTGTTTTCAATTCTGCAGATTTTGCTTTTGATAATTGTTTATCTGAATTGGTTCTAACTGATGTTTGTCTTCATCTCTGGTTGTTGGCTGATGCTGTTCTCTGTCTGAAGTACAATAATATTTTTAATTAGTGTCAAAAGTTGGTTCCATTAATTTCTGCTTATCTGAAAACAGTTTTGCCATCATATTTAAAAGGTAATTTTCCTGTATATATGATTCTTGGTTAGCAATTCTTTTCTTTCAGGGATTTGTGTATGTCATCTTAGTTTCTTGATGGCACAGTTTTGCAGAAAATTAAGACTGGAATCTTATTAGTGCCTATTTGTAGGTAATGTTTAATTATTCTAAGGGCTAGTTTCTTAATCCTTTGACTTTGTTTTTAAAAAGTTGATCATTCTATTTCTTGGGGACTTTCTTTTGGTATTTATCCCAGTATGGGGTTGTTGCCCATCCTTAGATAGACACATTCTTGTCTTTCATGATGCTGGGAAGTTTTTAGACAACAAATCATCAGAAATTTTCTTGGTGCTTTTTTTTTCTCCATCTCTTGTTCTAGAATTCCAACTACATGTAAATTATTCCTTTTGATAGTGTTTCACTTAACTTAGAGTTTTCTTAATCCTTTTTCTATTTTTCCTAAAAATGGGTAAGTAGGATTCATCCTTTATTTTTCTGAATAATTCTTCAAGAATCTCTTAAATGAAAAAACGAAAGACTCTCTTAAATGAATATTAATATTAATTAGGAATTTATAAACATTTTTTAACTGACCAGTTTATAATCTGTGTAGTGAGTTGGCAGTTTGAACCCATTCAGCAATGTGAAGAAAAAAATGATGTGGTAATATGCTTCCATTACAGTCAAAAAAGAAAAAAAAAATATAGCCAAGGAAATAGTATAGAGCAGTTTCATTTTGTAACATATAATGTTGCCATGATTCAGAATCAACTCGATAACAACTAATACCAATGAAAAGAATTCTAATTAAAAAACCCAAGCAAACCCCACATACAGAATACTTTTGCAGGTAAAAAGTTAAAAGAAAGCTGAATGCCCTAATTTATATGCATTTCTATCTATAATTATAACAACTAATATGTTTAAATGATGACCTCTTATATACTACTTTGATTTGTGGGGAAAAAAAGAAACAAAACCCCAAACCCTTATGACAACAAAAAACAACAAAAATCCCAACATTTACTGACTGTTTATTTTTAGACGTAAGGCACTATGCCAGCCACAGTATACGCAAAATCTCCTTTAATCCTCAGTGTTGGTACCAAATGGATATTGTTATTTTTCAGATATTTGAAAACTGAAGCAGCAAATTGGTTATGTTATTGGTCCAGGTCACATAATTTGCAAAATATACTAGTATTTGAACTCAATTCTGTCTATTCCATAGCCCAAGAATTTGGACTTTTTACCAATACCCTATAAGAAATTCTGATCCTACTCAGAATATATGCATTTAGAGACAGCTGTAAGTTTTCAACATCTTAAGTATTAGTCAAAATTATTACAGAAGAGAAGGAAAAATGTAAAAGTAATTTCTTTTTTATTCATTAAAAAACCAAAATAAAGCAAAAAAAAAACAACCCCACACCACCTACTTGTGATCAGATAAGTCCAAGTAATAGGGTACATATGCCAGATCTTCAGATTTCCAATGCTGCATATTTAAGACAACAAAAGGGGGTGCCCCATGGCAGAAAATTCGTTGGGAAAATTCTCTTAATCCACCACACCTAAAATGGAAAACAGGCATGACTATTACTCTTAAATGGGGGAAAAGTTGCCTTTCAACTCATCAGGATTATCTTTATGACTTTAATTTCCCAGAAATTAAAATCATAAAGGTAAAAGGGCAAATTCATTAGATAAACTAAATAAATAAAACAAAAAACACAACCAAAACAAAAACCAAACCAAAACCAAAAAGCCCCCAAAAACCAAACACACACAAAAACTACCTCATTGCTGCAAGTTGAAACCGACTCAGAGCTGACCCTCCAGTGGGTTTTCAGAGGCTGTAAATTGCATAGGAAGAGATTGCCCATCTTTCTCCTATGGAAGTGCTGGTGGATTCGAACTGCCAGAAAAGCGTGACCTTTGGGTTAGCAGTGTAACTCCCTATGAACTATGCCACCATAGCTCCATAAGATAAATAGGTAAGCATAATTATCTGTTGTTGTTGTTAAGTGCCATCAAGTCAACTATGACTCAAAGTGACCCTATGAACAGGGATGGCCAATAGTCTGGATAGTTATATTACCTGATCTACCTATCCTCAGGAGTACTAGTGGTACAGTGGTGAAGCATTTGGTTAACTTGAAGACAAGGTGGTTTGAATTCACCCACCATTCCACAGGACAATGAGGTGGCAGATAGCTTCTATAATGAGTTATAGCTTTGAAAATCCCCTGGAGCAGTTCTACTCTGTCCTATAGGTTTGCTAGGATTAGGAATTAGTTTGATGGCAAAAAAATGTGGTTTTTATTTTGTTTCTATTTAAAGCTTCTCAAAGACATTGAAAAAGCTAGGAGATTCTCTGTACTAGAAAAGACTTTAAAAACTCTATCTAGAAGTAGCTAGAAAAGTTATCTTTTCTATCTAAGCTTAGAATAGTATGTAGTCTGCTGAATTGAAATAAAAGTTTTTCCTCTCTCAGACCTGGTTCTAACGAGGAATTAATTGGAAAGAGAGAAATTATGTTACTTTTGGTCCTCTTTACACTAATTAACGTCCCCTATTGCTTCATTTTCCCAGTAGGATCTTCTCCTATGAAGCAAATAATCTTTTCTTAGTATTATTAGGTATTGAACACATAGATCAGAATGCAACAAATATTACTATTCAGTAAAATCTTGGTTAACTGGAATGATCAGGGAATAGTAGTCTGGTTAACAATCATCACTGATTAAACTAAGTTAACCAGAAAACCATTTCTATTTCACCATTTGTTACTAAAAATGGTTTTAAAAATATGTCACTTCACTTCTGTACTTAAAAGATATCATTACCTTAAATTTTAATCTTTCCTTCTTTTATAATTTATTGTTATTGTTGTTGTTAAGTGCCATCGGGTTGTAGACAACTCATAGCAACCCTATGAACGAAAGACCTGGACACTTGTATAACATCTGTTGTTTCTCCATGTTTATAGAGTTTCCAAAGGCAAGCTATTTCAGAAGTGGATGCCACTCCTGCTTCCAAGCTTATTTTAATTGGGAAGCTCCACCAAACACTGTCCACCATGGGTAACCATTATCCATCTGGCACATCAGTGTCACAGTGTTTAGCATCACAGCAACCACAAGTTACCTCTGTACAGCAAGGCAAAGACCAGTGCTATAACACTCAGGAGAATGTTTGACAAAAAACAATTTAAACCAGGCCTGAGGGTTGCAAGTGTTACGATTATCTTTTAAAATACTCATTGTACAATATTGTAGACACAAAAACTTATATGACATTCAGCTAAATATGTTCTGCCAATCTGGACATTTTATTTTTGCTATGCTAAATTTTTGTTTATCATTTACCTCTTTTCCCTAAAGGTGGAATACAGAAAAAAAATTCAGTTAAATAAGGGTCCCATTTAGCTGGGTTCCGGTTAACCAAGGTTTTATTGTACCTACTCAGGCAGCAGGGGTGGGGAAGGGATTTGGCTTTGTATTGAGTAATTAGTTGAAGTATATTACTCTATATACTGTTATTTGGTAATTATAATGTACAATTGTTGAGTCGGAAGCAACTCATAGCTGACCCTTCTGTGGGTTTTCAAAGGCAATAAACGGCAGTGGAGAAGATTGCCCATCTTTCTCCTATGAAGCATCTGGTGGACATGTACCAGCTGCCTTTGAGTTGGAGCACAACTCCTTACTCACTAGGTCACCAGAGCTCTGTAATATATATAAAAAAGGCATATTATACTGGAAGATTATAAAATAAATGTCCTTAAAACATATGTACCATTATTTAATAAAGTATTAACATTAAAACACCTATCAGCCCTTTATAAGCAACTAAAAAATATTTTTTATTGCCTATTATATACTCACCCACTCTCTTCACAAAGTTCAATCTTGGAACAGAATAACTCGTCCACAGCCAATCGTATTAAATTTCCATGTGGAATTTCTTGAGGAGGACTACAATAATTGCAAAATGCATGTTAAAAAACTTCAGTGTTTCACAAGTAATATACAAGTTGTATAGGTCAATCCATTATTAGATAAAACTGAATATACAAAGCATGACCTCTGTTAATCACCTTATAAATCTTGTGAACAGTAGAGAAAACAGCTGAATTCAATAAATACTAATTAACTGAGCTGTGCAAGAAATAGTAAATCTTTCTGTAGATCAATCTTGAAGGATATAGTTGTGGTTAATTTAAAAACTTTTGGAAAGATTTCAAGTGATATAATCTGATTTAGTGGGGAAAAAGACCTTAAGTCAGAAGTGTAATCAGTTACCTGACCAAATTTAAGTCACTCAGTTATTCTCAGCCTCAGTTACCCAATCTGTTAAATGCTCCTTCCTGCCCCTAAGTACTTCAAAGGTTATTTTAAATAAAGTGATACAGTGGTTGTTCAGCTGCTAAACAGAAGGTCATCATTTGGAACCCATCATCCATTCTATGTGGCAGAAAGATGTGGAAATTTGATTCTGTAAAGATTACAACCTTGAAAATGGTGAGGCAAAAGTTCTATTCTGTTTTATAGGATTGCTATGAGTTGGAATCAACTTGATAGCAACAGGTAAGCAAAAAATATTATGAATATAAATCTGTAAATATTTCAGTGGCAAGAAGCTGCGCTGCAATCCCAAAGGCACGCAGTTTGTGGCCACCAGCTGCTTTGTAGAAGGATGGGCAATCTCCTCCTGTGCAATTAACTATCTCTGAAAACCTGCTGGAGGGTCAGCTATGGGTCGGTTCCGACTCTATGGTACAAAACAGTGACAACAACAACAAAATATTTACAAATTAAAATAAGATTTTTTTTTTTAAAAAGAGCCTTAGTGAAATAGTGAGAGGCATTTACCAGTTAATGAAAAGGTTGGCATTTGAACCCACTAGCCACTCTGCATAAGAAAGATATGGCATGCGCTTTCGAACAGATAAAACCGACTATCAAGTTAAGTCTGACTCAGTGACACTCTATCAGGTTTCCAAAGCTTTAAGTATTTTTTCTTAAGAGAGGTTAGAGGGCTCTATGAGTTCTACTACTGACTTATTAGCTGACTAACATGTTATGTAATATGCCACTGATTTGATGGCAAAAGGTTAGTTGATGTTTCACTTTTAAAAATCAAGATCAAACCAATTCCAGGTGGATCAAGGACCTAGGAGTAAAATCAAACACTACAAATTTCATCAAAGAAAAGTCTGGAAGAACTCTAGAAGCCCTAATCCAAATATTGGAACATTTTTCCAATAAAAAAAAATGAAAAACCTGAACCAGGAAAGAAAAAAAAATAGAGGAATGGAAACTTTTAAGAATCAAATCCCTATGGACATCAAATAAACTTCTCCATCAGGGTAAAAGGGTACCCACAGATGGGCAAAAAATATTTGGCAATGACATATCTGAAAATATCTCATAACTAAAATTTACAGAATAATCCAGCACATCAACAAGAAAAAGGTAAACAATCCAATTACAAAACGGGCCCAGGATATGACTAGATACTTCACCAAAGACATTCAGATGTCAAACACACACATGAAGAAATGCTCAAAATCCCTAGCTATTAGAAAGATAAATATTAAAACTATATCATTTTATCCAGCAATAATAGCAAAGTTTAACAGAGCGGCAAACAACAAATGCTGGTGAGGTTGTGGAGACTGGAACCCTTTATTCACTATTGGTGGGAGTGTAAAATGGTGTAACCACTATGGAAGGCAGTCTGGTGCTTTCTCGAAAAGTTGGAAATAGAAATACCACTTGACCTAGCAGCTCCACTACTGGGAATATACCCTAAATAAACCAGAGCTGCCACTCAAACAGATGTATGCCAACTCATGTTTATTGCTGTGTTATTCACAACAGCAAAGAGATTGAAACAACCTAAGTGCCCAACAACAAATGAGTAGACAGAAAAACTATGTAATATTCACATGATGGAATACTATACAGCATTGAAAAACAAGGAACTCCTAAGTGATTACACAACATGGATGACCCTGGAGGACTTTATGCTGAGTGAAATATCTCAGTCACAATAGGACAAATGCTGCATAACACCACTATTCTAAAACATGATGGACACGAAGAATTGAGAGGAAACTAGGAAAAGAGGGGACAGATAATGAACACTGCACTGGAACAGATGAAGGAAAGAACTTTTTAAAAGGAATATATGATTAGGCATTATTTGTATGGTAACAGTCCAGAATAAGAGGTGCATTGCAAAGTGGACTGGGGGAGGCTTCAGTGGGAGAGGGAGGAAATTATGCAATAATGATTTTTTTTAAAAGAAAGTGAACTGGGGGAAACGACGAGGAGGAGGAGGAGGAAAAAGTAACAATGACTGAATGAAAATCCAACTTTTCTATACACTTTTGTTAAAATCACAATTAAAAAAAATAAAAATCAGATCAATTTCTGAAACACTTTTCAGTCCATTATAATGAACGCTTTTTCTCCAGATAGTTCTCAAAATGCTATCACACCAGTAGCACAACTTACTCTATCATGTTAACATTTCTTTAATAATCAGTATCAGAACTATTATATACCAACAGATAAATAAAGAAATAACCAGAAATACTTTGAGATTATAATGAATGAACAGAGCTTACTATTTTTGAGTGGGGTTTTAAGGATTCTTTTTTTTAGTATTCAAACTGTCAAAACACTTGGGCAGTTCAATGAAAAATCTAGTTCAGGATATGTAAAATAGAAAATTAAAATGGTTGCTTCTGACAACAATCATGAAAGCAAGCTGAGAGTTCTAGTTTGCATTTCATAGCACAAGTAATAAACAGTATTAAGAATACAAATTTTATTTAGTACAAAATGTTTTAGTTAAAAGTGATCTTATTTCAGATGCAACTTAAAATTGATGGAAAATATTTGGGGTTTAAAAGCTGCTATTGTTATGTAGCACCAAGTTGGACCTAACCCATAGTTGACCCTCCAGTGGGTTTTCAGAAGCAGGAGACAGCACGGGTGGAGATTACCCATCTTTCTTCCATAAAGGAGCTGGTGGATTCAGTTTGCCTTCAGGTTGGCAATGCAGTTCCTTACCACTAGGCCACTAGAGATCCCTTTAAATGCTGCTAGCTTTGCCTAAATTAAAGAGAAATATATGGTGGCATAATCCTGAGTTGCTCTGCTAACTAAAGGCTGTATATCTCCAGCAGTTCTGATAAAGCTTTTAAGGATGAGCTGTCTCTTATTATGATTTACAGCCTGAGAAACCCAGCAGAGGGTCTGAGAGTCAAAACTGACTTGATAGCATTGAGTTTGAGGGTGCTGAGTTTATATCTATCTATAACAACAACAGGAGTTCTGGTGGCCTAGTGACAAGAAGCCGCACTGCAATCCCAAAGACACATGGTTCAAATCCACCAGCTGCTCTGTAGGAGAAGGATGGACAATCTCCTCCCGTGCGATTAACTGCCTCTGAAAATCCACCAGAGGGTCAGCCATAGGTTAGATCCAATTTGATGGTATGTTTTATAACAACAATTAAAAAAAAATCCTCCTTCCAAGAATAAATGGAAAGAGCCAAAACAACACATATAAATAGTAAGAGTATATTTCACAGAATGGAGGCACTGATTGCTAGAAATCGAAATAAGTAAAATATTTTAAACCTTCCATAAGCAGCATGACGTCGTAATATTAAACTGAACATTCACAAAGGTACGTGACTTACTTAGGTTATATGATCTATATCCCCAAATAGGAATGTTCTTTTCAGCTATTCTATTTAGGTCCAATACCTTTTCTGATTAACAATATACATGAGTCTGTTTTTCTCTCTTGGTTTCTTCCATTAGCAATTATCCCCTTTCAAGCTCGTATGTACTGGTGGCTTGAATGTTTCCCAACCCTCCACTATGGCTTGCCAATTCAATCTCTGTCATTAACTAACTTGGAGGCCTGCCTTCTCTCTGAAAGGCAAAAACACTTAGTTGGCTTCTGCCCAACACCATTCCTAGGCACTATAAAAGCTTCTTACAGCTCCATCCACCCCAGGAGTTATATTCCAAATCTGAGGTTCCTGTCTGTAACTCTGCTGTGGTCTTAACATGGAGTACTGTCAATCTTTTTGTTCTGAATTAGTCTACCAGAGTCAAACACAGCCATAGTAGTAAGTACTCTTTAAGAGGCTAAATCAGTGATATACGAAACTGGTAATTGTCAGTCATATTATTAAATTCAAGCAAGTTTAAAACATTTTGTATATTATTCATTACTTTGCTACTTAAATAAATGCCAAGATATTTAGATATAACAGACTAAGGTTTTTTTCATTAGATCTACTGAGAAGTATTTGTGCAGTTGCTTTATAAGTGATTATGTAAGTTCAGCAATTTACCGGTAGTGTAGCTTGTGTGTGTGTTTAAGTACTGTTCATTAAACAAAATACACTTTTTTTGAGAGTAACAAAACTAGATTTTGTAGCAACTTACTTTATAATAATTATGCGCTGCTGATCTTCTTGGACTCGAGTTGGGCATCGCCAGTTGGAACAGTAACTCTCTTGAATAGTTGACATGAGATTTTCAAGCTTTCTTGTAAAATTATCATGCTCATTCCCAAATAAATCAATTACTAATGAAGCTTTATGAACTTCAGATTTGTATTGCTGTTTTTCCATCTTATCCCAAATCCACAAAAGCTTCACAGTTGTAAAACTGTAGGTGTCCATTAAGTAAAGAAAACAGTCGACAAACTCTTTACCTAAATGCAGAGAGAGTTCCCTGGGAAAATTTTCATTTTCATTAAGAATGACATATAATAACATCAAGAATCCATCTATGGTGCAGGTATTTTTCAGTCTTATTTCAACATAGAGTGGTGTACAAGATACTGCTTTGCGGCCAGCTTTGATAGTAAAAACTCCTCCCCAAGGAAGAACAGGCCTCCAAAATGAGCGATCTTGGTTATAGTTATTTTTAATTGATGCTTTGATCTCTTCAAACAGTGTCTTCATCCTGAATTTTAAAAGTTTAAAAAAAATTATGACTATATGTTAAATGCATATAATACATCTGTATTTGTATGTTAAGTATATATATTTAAGTGGCAATGAAACCATCTAAAGGTATAAACTAGATGTTTTTCCAATGTAATAAAATTATTGTTTAAAATGAACAATTCACACTATATTCTATTTTCTTGGCAATGTGCCATTTAAGAAAACCTTTTTTTTAAGATAAACCTTCTTTTTTAAAAAAAATTTAATTGTGATTTGAAAGTTTACAAATGGTATTGGTTTTTTCAATCATTCATACCCATTTTGTTTTATAACATTAACTCCCATAATGCCTGTTCATTCTCTTATTGTAGACTGCTCTTTCCTTAACCCACCTTAATATGGAGTATTACTGTCCTCTTATCTCTGATAACCATGCAATAATGATTCTAACTCTGTTTAAACCTTCCTTTAGCTTTTTTATAATGATGGTCTTATATTTATCCTGCTGTGCTTGACTTAAACTTCACTCAGTACAACGTCTTCATGATTCATCCACGTTATGTGGTATTTTGTAAATTCTTTCTCAATCTTCAGTCAAAACTTTTTTTGAGGCATAGAATCATCATCTGATGGGCCATAGTATGGACTGCCGAAAGAACAAGAAAGGTCTTGGAGGAAGTACAAAGAGGGTGTTCCCTCTATTTTTTTAATTGATGCTTTGGTGAAAGCACCTCATATACTTTGGGCATGTCCTCTGGCCACTCCTTGGAAGGGCACATCATGGTGGAGAAGTGGAGGGTCAGATAGAAAGAGAAAGAACCCAAAAAAGACAGATTGGCACAATGACTGTAATAATGGGCTTGAGCATATTGGAGACAGTGAGGATCATCCAGCATAGGGCAAGGTTATTCATAAGGTCACTGTGAGTTGTGACTGGACAGCATCCAACAACTTTACTGATTTTAGTCTGTGATAGATGAAAACGATGTAATTTTTAAAACCTAAATAAAAAGAAAAGTTAACTAATTTGGTGGTTTTTGTATACTGCTGAGTCAGAACCAACTCATGGCTGACCTTTTTGTGGAACCGCTCCACTAAAATCTTCAGTGGATTTTCAAAGGCAGTTTAATCATCTAGACAGCCCATTTTTCTCCTGTGGAGCAGCTCATGGATTAGAACTTTGTGCCTTTGAGATGGCACTGCAGCTCCTTACCAGTACGCCAACAGAGCTCCCTAAATTTGATTAAGTTATCCTATTATCCTTATTCATTGTTCAGCTTTCTCATACGTAGCAAGTAACTGCAAAGCCCATGGCCTGGATCAGGCACACCTTAGTTTCCAAACTGATATCATTACTCTTTAGCACTTTGTCAGTCCCTGACAGCAGACTTTCCCAATGCAATTAGTCTTTTGATTTCCTGAATACTGATGTCAAGGGTGTTGATTGTGGAACCAACTAAACAGAAACTGTTGTTAATAACTTCAATCTCTACTTCATTATCTATTATGGTGCTGCCAATTGGCCCAGTAGTAAAATCTTTGTTTTCTTGATGTTGTGATGCAATTCACAGTCCTTCACATTCTGCAGCAAATGCTTCAGGTCCTCCTCAGTTTGAGCAAACAAGGTTCTGTTATATGCATAGCAAAAGTTGCTGATGAGTCTTCCTCCAATCCTGATACCACATTCCACCTCATAAAGTCCAGCCTCCTGAATGATCTGTTCCACATACAGATTAAAAAGGTATGGAGAAATGACACAGCCCTGATGCACTTTCTTGATTTTGATCCATGCAACATTTTCTTGGTCTGTTCTGATGACTGCTTCCTGGTCTAAGAACAGGTTTTGCTTGCACACAATCAGGTGTTTTGGGATTCCCATTCTTCTCAAGGTAAGCTAAAATATGTTGTGATCCACAGAATCAAATGCCTTTGCATAGTCAATGAAGCACAAATAAGACATTCTTCTAGTACTGTTTTAGCCAAGATCCATCTGACATTGGCCATGATGGCCCTAGTGGTACAGCCTTTTCTAAATCCAGCCTGCACTTCTGGTAGTTCTCTGTTGATGTAATGTTCCAGTTGTCTTTGAATAATCTTCAGCAGAATTTTGCTTTCAGGTGATTCAGCTCCTTAACTTCCTGATTTCTTCCCTTTGCTTTGGCGTCTCAGCATTCCAGTACAACATTTGGAGTCTCTTCTGACATCCACCTTGTTCATTACTTCCTCCTTTCTTTCTAATGATATTTTGCGTTCCTCACGGATGATATTCTTAATAATCCTCTGACTACTAGTCTGGTCTCTATTCTGTAGTGTTCAAGGCCTCAAACCTGTTCCTGAGATGGTGTTAAATTCAAGTGGGATAAACAAGGTCAAATTTTGGATCCTGTGTTTTTTTTTCTCATTTTCTTTAGCTTCAGTTTGAACTTGCATTATTTGATGGCCTGTTCCACAATCAGCACTTGGTCTAGTTTTCATAGTTGATATTTTCTCTGATTCTTTCCACAGATGCAATCAATCCAATTCCTAAGGGGAAGATCAGGTGAGGACTGCGTATTTAGTCACTGTTCATGTTTCAAAGGCATCTGCATGGAATAAAATATTGACTACATAAGATTCTATCATTCTACCTCCACCCACATTTATATAACCAAGTCCAAGTTTTCAAACTATTGATCCTTCTTCCTTGTTCCCAAATTTTGTATTCCAGTCATCCATTATTATTAATACATCCTGGTTGCATAAGGATGACAGTAGAAAAACCTGTGCCTTCATGCTGTAGTGCTAGAGAAGAGTACTGAACATACTATGGACTGCCCAGAGAACAAACAGGTCTATCCTAAAGAGAGTGAAGAGAATTCACTCCTAAGAGACAAGGATTTTGAAATTCCATCTTCTGGGCATGTTGTTAGGAGGGACCGAGAAGGACATTATACTTGGAAGGGTGGAAGGACAGTGAAAACAGAGGAAGATCCAGGATAAGCTAGATCGACACAGTGACTGGGATAATGGATAGTGTGAAAACGGCTCAGGATAGGGCAGGGTTCAAAGCTATGGCACCTAGAGTCACTACAATTTGCAGGCAACTCGACGGCATTTATCTATAATTCCTAATAATATACTTTTGCTCCCACATATATGAATTATGCCTCATTTTCTTGTTGGCGGGCATAGTCCAACTTAAGAAACATACATTAAGATCCTTACTTGGAATAGAAAATAATTTGGTAGTATTTATATGAATACTATACATTTTGTATGTATTATAGAAAATCTATGCAATAACAGATACTCCTGTAGTACACTAATTCTCTAATAGACTATGAAAGATGACACATGAGAAATAATTGTGAGAATTTAAATGAATAGTAGTGTAGCTAATATAATTTCTATTAAATGGAATTGCAGTTATTATTTAGAACTGTGTTGATATCTGTTTTAATAAACATGTTTGTGAGTGCTGGTCGTGTACTGCATTACTACATTTGGGTTTGCCATCTGAAATGCTTAAGGAGCACTCCATGGAACAAAGATTAAGAGCCTTGGAAACTTGATGGAGAGCCTATGAGATGGAACAGATTCAATTCACTGAGTTTGGTTTGTTTTTGCTTTGTGCTATTGAATTGTAACTGACCCACAGATGACTCTCCAGAGGGTTTTCTGTGGTAGTAAACTACATTGGAGAATGCCCATCCTTCTCCTACAGAACAGGTGGTAGACTGTAACTGCAGGTGCCTGTGCCTTGAGGATTGCAGCAGATTCTTACAATCAGGCCACCAGTGTTTAAAATTATTGATTCACAACTAAGGATGACAGAAGAATCATCAATGCCTTTGAGTTGTGATGCTGGAGAAGGGTCTTGAACACATCATAGACCACCAAAAAACCCCAAACAGGTCTGTTCTGGAGAGGGTGAAACCAAGTTTCTCCTTGGAGACTAGGATTTTTGAAGTTCCGTCTCACATATTTTGGGCAAAAGGCTAGGAGAAGCCAATCCTTGGAGAAGGGTATCATGTTTGGAAGGGGGGGGGGCAGCGCAAGAGAGGAAGGCCCTGGATGAGATGGACTGATATAGTAACTGGAGTAATGGAGGTAGATGTGTCAAGTCAGTGAGACTGATTGCCTCAGGATAGGGCAGGCTTTAGACCTGTTCTACACAGGGTCACTATGAGTTGCAGGGACTCAACTGCACATAACAACAACAACAATACTCTATTTCCCACTGTAAAACGCATTTTACAGTGGGAAATAATACTGGATAACAGGGGATTAGATCTACATGCCTTTGAGTTGGGTTTTCTAGATTTAAGTTTTGAAAAAAAATCGTTTTACTTGGAACATCTATCCACATTAGAAATAACTTATTATGAAATGTTAATTTTATGGGAAAATGTATTTTTATGAAAAAACAAAAGCATGTGTGGAATAGGAACAATGAGTGACGGTGATGTCTTATTTTGTTCATCTTTTCACCAAGCACAATATAAATCCAACATTTAGTTAATAATGCAGATCTCTGTTTTAAATTATTTGTGTGAGAAAAAGATTTGGCAACACTACCCACTGCTTGCCATGGAGTTGATTCAGACTCAGCAATCCTCCACTGGATTTCTGAAATTCCATACACACATCCACATACCAACCTAGAGAATTTTAAGCTTGAAGCAAGATACGGTAAACTCTAAAATACTCAACACTATATTTAGCCTGAAGTGTAGATGTTTATATACAGTCTGCTTACACTTTGGTTCTAGTCAATCAGTCACTTAGAAATGAAAGGGTGTGGCAAATTTGGAGCCGGAGAAAAGTTTCTTTAGCAGGTTTAAAAAAAACATGCAGCATTCAAATACAACCTTTTTCATGTTATGATAAGGCATACTTTGTTTATTGCACCTTGCAGGGTCCCCCCCCACCCATTGTTGCACATTTTCTTCCTCCTCTCTCCCCTCACCTTGCAATTATTTTTACAAAGAATCTGTGGTAGCTCTGAGTGGAGAGGCATACATTTTCTAATGGCATATACTTACTTTGTCTGTAACATGTGTTGTTGTTATGTGCCATCAAGTAGTTTGCGACTCATAGCGACCCTATGTACAAGAGCCCTAAAGGCTGCTCGATCCTGTGCCAACCTCACCATCTCAAACACACTCATTCCCACCACCCCAATCACAGAATCGATCCATCTCATCGAGGGCCTTCCTCTCCTGTGCCATCCCTCCACGCTCCCAAACATGATGTCCCTCTCCAAGGACCAGTCCCTCCTTGCAACATGCCCAAAGTATGTCAGACGAAGCTTCAGAATCTTTGA